AAAGGCGGTCTTCCATTTATTACCTTCCGTAATATATACCCTATAGTACGCATCTTTTAGATTAAGCTTAATAAAGATCTTTACTTACTTTAATCTATCTAAGGATTCAGTGATTAGTGGTAAAGAGCCATAGTTTTTTATAGTAATCTTATTTAGTCCATAATAATCGACATATAGCCATAGACCTCCATCTTTTTTCTTAGCAAAGAGTATTAGGGCTCCTATGGGCGATCTAGATTAGCGGATCCAACCCCTTACCAAATATTCCTTAATATACTTCCTCAGTGTCTCTAGTTCGGTCACTGAGAGGTTATATATAGGAAAGTGTAGAGGTTATTTACCTTCTTCCAGATCTATATATAGGTCATGCTTAGAATGGCCTAATAGTTCCTTATGGTCTTTGTCGGAGGCCACATCTATAAGATTAGAATAATAAGTAGGTATTATCGCCCTATTATTCCCTTTTATACTAGAAATTAACATTTCACCCATTAACGTTACCAAGCAGGCGTATATGGTGGCATAAGGGCTTCTTATAGTGTAATTAAACTGTTCCGCATCCTTAGTTGCGATTTTCTAATAATAAGTGGCCACTTTCGCCTTAGCCCCTCTAAAAAGCACATGATAGGTGGATACGTTTATTTTGGGGTTATATTTATTAAACTAGGGCAACCCAAGGAGGATGTCATACCCGGTAAGGTCTATAACCATATAAGGGATTTCTTATAGTTACTTCCTTCCATAAGAGTCTACTAATTCTGCCATAAGAATGGCTGTACCATAGATCTTTAGTTTTAATCCATTCATGGCTTGCGTAGGTAAATTGGTAAGTAGTTTAACCTTAATACTCTATTCCCTCACTTTATTAAGTAATAGTAGGTTAAAGTTAGCCGCTAAGTCCACTAAGGCCTTAACTCTATCTTTGCCGACCCAGGCTACTATAGTAAGTTTCCCCTTCAGGCGATTATAGAGCCAATTAAATAAAGAACCAAGCTGGTGGACCTTAGGCACTTCTTTAACGTAATTTATAACTATAGTAATGTGGGTAGAAAGGGCGGCTACTACTCTTTCTATCCCTTCCCTTTTCTTAACCTATTCCACTTATCCTTGGCTACTTAAGCATCTCTAGTCCCAGGTGCTGGCGGCTTATTAAGCGTTAGGTAATTAGGCCGAATATAATCTAGTTTACTATAATGCCAATAAGATATGTCTTAATTAGTAATTTTTATACCTAATAGTGCCGGATTGGTACGCTTATAGTTATTACCCCGCCCTTATTAACGTCTGGCAGGTTTCTAGGGGGTATTATTCCCCCTAGACTCTAGGCGGGTCTTGCGCCTCCTATCTATCCCATCTCTTATAGTATTTAGGCCTAAAGGTCCTAGTGTTACTAGGTTCGTCTAGTAGATTATCAAAGCTTAAAGTTTAACATCCGCTATTAAAGTCTAGAGTTCTAGAGGTATAGATTATAATTTTTAGTAGATTAAGGGAGCGAGAGCTCCTATATACTTAAGTTTCTATTAATTAAGGTTAGTAGTCCCTAATTCCTCCTAGCACCCCCATAGGTAGTCTAGGAGGTCTAGAGGGCTCTAACTAGGCCTCTACTAGCACTTCTTAAGCTAATCATATGCTAGTTAATGCTATTCCTCTAGGGAACCCAACGCGTCTAGCATTTTAGACTTTAAAAAGTCCTAGAAGACTTCCTAGGTTGGATCTATTGCTAATTTAGATTGAACTTTAATCCTCTAGATGGAACGACACACATCTATTATATACTAGAGGGCGTAGTTTACTTTAAGTCCTTTATTAGAGAAGTAGTCCTTTAAAGACTAGAAATAGAGTTCATAGTTATCTCTCTAGCGATTAAACTTACGTCTATCCTTTCTAGTGTACTCATATGGTTGTTTCTAAGGTGGTCGTAATAATGATACATAATAGGTTTCTTTCTTGATAATGGCGTCTCTTGTGGGCTTAAATAAGGTAGTAGGGTTACCTAACTCCCACCTAGCTTAGATGTCTTAGATGCGGCGCAATTTGATAACATTCCATTATTTCTTAAGCCATTACTAGGCAATTTCCAACTAATGCGATACACTACCGCTCGAACTTGCCTCTTTAGATACTAGGGTTGCAACTTAGCCTATTCTAGAGCGCCCCGTCCCTAATAGGCATGAACTGGCATGAATAGTGCCTGACTATTCTTGAGAATTATTGGATGGAGGTAACTGAGTCGGATGAGGAGATCCTATATCTAATAGTGCGTGGTTATCTAATTCCCCACTATGGGATTCCGTTGAGCGGAGGTTATAGGCCATTATTAGATAGTATTATCGTGAAGGACTAAACTGCTCAAAAAAAAAGGGGTGAGCGATTCGAATGTTAGAAGTATGGGGTAAATAGTATAGCCTTAACTTTAACAGTGGAGAGATAGTAACATTTAGGTATAGGATAGACGAATCGCTAACGGGCTCTACCCGCCAGCTCCTAGTGCTATATAGTCCAAGTCACATAACCTTAGGGTGAGCCGCCTGGTCCATGGTGGGGGAGGTCTGACAGTTATAGAGTAGATTAGGGTAGTATACTATATTATCTAGTCTAATTATACTATTACTGCGCGTGCTCTTTAAACGCATATAAATGCTACCATATCCTTATATCTAAACTTACGTATTCCTAGCCCATATGAAGTTACCTAGCCTTAGTGGCCTTAGTGTAACAAATTAATTAACATTATTAAAGATATGGTAAGTTATGCCTAAGTTAAGGATTACTAAATTATGGAGTGGGTACGTGTTTAGATTAGATTATATAGTAGTATTAAAACTTATACTTATAGTTATAGTATAGATTTTATAACCATCTAGTCACTCATCACTTACCTCTATTAATCGGGTCGGCGTTAGTATATGGGACTATTTAATATAAGGTATTTATGTTCGTAATCTACTTTAACCTTAAATTAGCCCTTAAAATGCGCTATTATACTTACGTTTAAGCTTAATTAGTTTACTAATAGCTAGTCTTAGTTTCCACCATACAGGTGCTATTTCCTTATAAAGGTAAAAGTAGTCTTTAGCTACATGGCTTTATTTATATACTAGGTATAGGCCTATGGTGTTTAAAGGCTTATTGTATAATAGCTAAGAGGTCCCATGTGGATATGCTCTCTTTCGTTTTAAGGAATGTCCCTTGGATGGCGCATATTTAGCATAAGAGGCGTCCCTGTTATTACCCTAAGTAGTTTTACTACTATTAGCGAGAAAGGCTCTATTAGTTATAAAGGCCACTTTATGCTTGCTCTTTGCGCTAGGGTGGTTTACCATTATATGCTCTTGGAACTGTTTTATCATCTCCTTTCTAGTCATGCCGGCGGCGTATCTACTATAGTCTTAAAAGGCTGTAGCCTATATAGGTGCCACTTTATTAATAGCTACTAGAAAGTCCTTTATAATTACATTTAGTTACATTACTTTGGCGACCCTATAGGTCTCCGCTTCTATAGCTGCCTAATTATATTTAGTAAGCCAGGTTTCC